ACGTCTCTCTCATAAATGGCCAAAATAGTAAGTTATAACAGACTTGCCTGATGTGAGTAGAGGTGTGTGGGATTATCTTGTGGCGGCCTGGTGTCATTTGAATGTAATTTAATTAAGGTATACACAGTGGAAGGCCACATGTAGTGACACTGCACTCAGCAAATCTCAGAGACTTAATTTCTATCAATAACAGATCTGTCCTACTGCCTTCAGACGTCTGCAGGGGTTTAATGAACTGATGGAGAAGCTTTTAATGCAGTCTAAAGCAGCCAGTTTAAACGCATTGACTGGCTGCTATTTAATTAAAATGGTTAATTCACACTGTAAGCATTACTGTGTTATGTCTGTGCATTAGCTCCAAATCCACAAAATGGAAGCAGTTTTTGTTTCTGATGTCCCAATCATGGTTCTGAGACGCAAAGTCTTAGACACAAAAACCCAATAACTCGCTTTCCTGACTAATCTGAATGAACCTCCCTCCTGTTTGTGCCTCTCCACCCCCTTGTGCACTGCGCACTCTGCTCTGGGCAACAAAATACCACACAAAAAGGCAAAGCGAATATCAAGGTCGGGGAAAATACCAAATTTTCCAAGCTCTGCATGCACTGGTTGTTGCACCACAACAAAAATAGGGTCCCAAGCCTAGCATAAAAGATTTTGCTAATGCACTAATCCCCCATATCCAGACTTTAGTCTTGTCAAATCCACAGCAGTCTGGAGAAAACCTTGTAAATCCTGAGGTAGCCATACGTCTTTTGGCATTTGAAAGAACTTGCCTCGAGAAACAACTACTGTGTTTGAAATACTATAAGTTTTCACTATTGTAAGTTAATCAGTCTGATGTACAGCATAATAAAAACCTACTGTATCTTTGCCTCTTTTGTAAATGACACTAGTCTAGGCTAAAATTGTATTTTACATTAATCATTGTCTTTGACATTTCAGTGCACAAAAATAACTTTGCTCACTTCAGCATAACAGAACAGAGAACTATATTGATCATTATAAATTCTCCTTTTGTGCTCTCTTTAGAATAAATTAGGCAAACTTGAATTAAAAACTCAGCAGGGATATTGCTTCAGGCAACATCCCAATTTAGAAAAGATGTCCTCCTTCCATATGTTGAAAAGTAAAAGAGGAAAAAAAGTAGCTCTCCTTAATTGAGGAGACAGTCCTGCATTTTTTAGGAAGCAGCAGCAGGATCTCAGTTTCTAACTTGGTGGCAAGAACTCCAAAAAAGAAACCGTACAGAAGAATTCATTTGCAGTGAGGCTGGAGTGTAAAAAGAGCTGTCTGACTCATGTTATCAGCTCGTGGTCATAGCTTTAGCTCATTGTGGCTCTTGTGCTTCCTACATTTCGCACACATATCATGTACAAAATCAGTGTGGTTACATATAGTATTAGTATATGCATCATCATGTAAGTATTAAGTATGACAATTGATCATTATCTTCATTATCACACAGGCAAGTATGATGATTACTCCGCATACTAATTTAAGTTAAATTTTGTAATTGTGAGGTTTGAAGTTGTGGTTATTATTACTTGATTTAAGGTAAGAGAGACCCCCTGCCCTGCGCAACGTGACCAACCCCACTCTTGAAATTCCCGATCTGAGCTTCATGATAAACCTCAGTAATTCATCAGACCTTTCAGTCGGGCAGGTCACGAAATTAAAGGTCGATGAAAGGACTCAATTGTGCTTAAATGCCATTCACATCTCTTTGCACCGCACCAGTGGTATTATCATTAGCTTAGGGGCAAAGCAATGAGTCCACTCACTGTGTGGTCAGGCTTTACTGTAAACCTTTAACATTTAAACCTTATTGGCATTCAGAAGTACAATTCATTCTTAATGCTCAGTTTTTATGTGGATTTTATCGAATCTGATTGAATGCTGTCGTGTCTGTCTGTCTGTCTGTCTGTCTGTCCTGTCGTGTGCTATCTATCTATCTACTCCTATCTATCCTATCTATCTAAGTGGCTTATCTATCTATCCTATCCTATCTATCTGTCACTGTTTTATTTGTAATTTAGTTTTTTTATCTTATTAAGGGAAATTAGCAGTTTTACACCCCCGTGGTATTTTGTAAACTTGATTTAATGTGAATTGTGTCTAAATAATACATTTTTTTCTCCTGTGAGCCTCCAATTGTAAGTTGCTTTTTTTTTCTAGTATAAGGATTTCTAAATATCTCTACTTAGGGCAGTTTTGCTAAAAAAGGAAGAATTCAGTCTCAGGATATTAATTATATTCTTTCAATTTTTAATATATTTAACAATTCTCAATGAACTGTTTCTTGCCATTACTAAAAATAAAAGCTTCAGTAACTTAATTTAGAAATCTTTAATTACGACTTCCATACAACCTTTTGGACAGCATAATTCAGTAAAGCAATAATGATATGATACATGCACACAATCATATGATACGATCATAATGATTGTGTATCATTAATGAATACGATCCCAATGATGATACGTGATCATATGATCGTACAATACGATTCCAGTAATACGATTCCAGTAATAGTCATTAAGCATTCATACTGAATGCCCAGACATACAGCCTGTAGCCTGTAGCCTGATAAAAGTCAAATTACCTCGTAGAAAATCAGTGAATCCTTAATGGACAGAAAATAGGTGTTTATTATTTCCCTAAAATTTAATTACAGTGCATCTCAGATTAAAGCTGAACATTTTGTCATACGTTGAATTGCACAACTCAAGTTCATTCATCTGTTAATTTCAGTTTTTGTAATAACTGTTGTGTATGTTGAAATCCTACAATCAGATACAGAGGTTTCATCATCAGATTTCCGAACATTGCTGTAGTGAAACCACACTTCATCACCTTAGAGAACAGGCAACAACCGTTCAATCTCACACTGAACCCCTTCTGGTACGTTTTTTTTTAGCTTACAGTGTCAGTCTGATGTTTATCAAAGAGGTGTTGATTAACCTTTAACTTGGTAACTTTTAAGTCTGTAGTTAGTGGTGTTATTGGATTGCAGTACGTTGTATTGGAAGGTGTATCTACGGTAATTACAGTGGAATAAAGTATTAGGTAAACCACATACACCAAATATTATGTAGCACTAGGACTCTCTGAGTTGTTTTAACAGAGCGCAAAAGAAAAGTGTTTGCCCCTAAGACAAAGAAAGGTCTCTGCATTACTTCAGTTAGTAAGTTGTTTGTCCTTTAAACAAAATAATTGGTTCTCTTTTCTTTTCTAATTTTCACATTACTTCCTCATAGTCACACTCTGTCATAAGACTATTGTCTTGTCTCCTGTGACACTGACGACATACCTGACGCATTATGTAACACATTACACAGATTACATCAAGGTGTTTTCCTAATTTTTGTAGGGCTCTAATTGTGTAAAGATGTTCTTTCTCATCTAGGGTAACTACAGAAAGTTCTTGAGTCCTTAAGTATTAACTTAAGGAGACCACACCTATATAAAAATTAATGGTCTATGAATGACACTCAACAATGTAGGAGTCATCAGAGGTGACGAGTACTTGCAATTACCGGAGGGAAGAAGGGTAAATGCTTTTCTTGTTTTTATGTTCCTTTCTTCCCAGTTTGCAACACACCTGGTCAAGGTAAATTTCCCACGGGTTTGTATCCTGGATGGAGGGATTAACAAACTGAAGCCCACCGGCCTCCTGACTGTTCCCTCCCCTCAGATCTGACCCCGTACCTCAGCTTCACATTAACAAAAGGGATGAGTGTAAAGACTGTATAGTGTGTTTTGAGCTGAAAATAAAAATAATATTTTAGACTTTTTTTACACATTCTAATTAAACTGGTGCAAAATGAAAAAATGCATTGAAATAATCTCCTTTTGAACCCAGTTTTGATTTAATCACCAAATAGGGCATTGACATTGACGTGTTTTATTATTTTCTCTCTCAAAACTAGAGTGATTGAATCAATTTTTCTTTTTCTGGAACAACTGCTATGTGTTGTAGTAGCTTTGCACTGATAAATTGAGCTGTCTGTGACCCATATAAATAACTTGATGTATGTCAGCCTGTCTGTTCTGAGCCTGTTAATCTAAGGAACTCAGTGGCGCTTTATTAGCTACGTCTGCATGATCCAATGCAATCTAGTACAATTGCTCTGCCACTTTCATGATGTGTGGCATGTTCCATTTTTTTTGGCACTGTCAGAGAGGTGTTAATTAAATTAAAAATGGTACAGTAGTGGTGGTGTTGTACCCAACTGCATTATATTCAGAGTTATTATTTTTTCTGCCTCCCTCATGTATGTAAATAAGGAGAACAAATTATAGACACCACCTTTAACTATGAGCTCAGTAATAAACATATCATTTAATTTACACATTTGCAGCAATGTCAACCAAACGGACCATTAGAAATTTAATAAAGGTAGAATTTATGGCTGTTGTGTTGCAATAGATTGTACAGTTGCACCAAATAAAGTGGCCACAGAGTGTGTGTGTGTGTGTGTGTGGATATGTGTGAGAAACAATAATATGAATAGTGATTTGTGCATTTGGTGATTTCTTAACTTGTATTTGCATTTACCTTGTTTACATGAATTGTCTCTGCTATATGTGTGTAATTGTCATGTTATAGAAATTGATGTTTTTAATAAAACTTTCTAAAGAATCTGGATCAAATGTGAACTCTTTTTGCTGTCAGTCAGAACTGATATTTTAATTAATTTTAATAAACTAGCACCGCATTAAGATATTATCTTCAACCTCTCTGTGAAGATGGTGTAATTGTTCATACATGTCCGATATTCCATCATCAGAGGTGACTCAATGTTAGTGACGACACTACCACCAAACTATAAAAAAGGGAAAGCAGTGGTGATATCTTATCAAAGGAACTTCTTGGTCTCAATAACAGGTAAGAGTGATGTTTTGTGTAATGATTTCAGTTAGCAACAATTGGACTGTAATAACAGAATCCTCATTTAATAATACTTGGGTTTTTTTGCACTCAGGTTCATCTATTGACAATCGACCTAATCATTGCTGAGAATAATAATTTTCTCTACCCACCAGGACATTTCTGCTTTCCTGAGTGAAAATGGTATTCTATAAAGTGACAGTGTCCACTGCCGCTGTTGTCAGCGCCACCACTTTTAACAATGTCTTCATTAAGCTGGTGGGCACAGATGGGGAGAGCGAACGCAAGTGGCTCATGGGCTTCAAAGGGGCTTCAGCCTTCGTGAGCGGAGCAGTAAGTCTGAAATGTTCTCTTAATGTTCTTTAAATGTATAATATGCTTCCTCAAATTTGCCTATGAGATTCTTAAATGCCAATCTCGGTAAGCTCATATGTGCAGCTACACGATATTGGCTGCTCTGTAACTCTGTAGGTGAGCAAAGCACCAAAAAAGTCCCCATAATGAGCTTCATAACATTGGTATTTTATACACCTTTCATCTCATCATTACTCCAGGTGTCTACTTTTACCGTGTCCTGCCCTGTTTCCATTGGAAAGCTGGTTCTGATAGAGCTAGACAAACAGCGTCTCCCACTGTTTCCCGAAGATTCCTGGTTCCCTGCCAAGGTGGAAGTAATATCCCCAGAGGGAGACACCTACAACTTTCCCATCTACCGCTGGATCACTGACAGCGAGGTGCACCGCTTCAGAGAGGGAACAGGTTTGTGCTGTTTGTTGACCACAGAAAACACTGAGTCATGTCGAGTCAGATTTTATTTATATACCCTAAGATCACTAAGGATCTACACTATGGAGACCTGGAAGAGGAGAGGCCACACAAGTACATAATTCAGACAAGAGAGATAACACAGACAAACACACTGCAGACATGCAGACAGGGAAAGAGGAGAGGGGAGACAATGATCCAGATACGAACTTCTGGATGAGGCACCAAAAATCAGGAGAGAGATACAGGTTCCTGGACGACTGATAGCAGAGAGGAGCATATAGGGGGGAAAAAGAGGAGGAGGAGAAAACTAGAGAGGGAGAGAGAGTGAAAGAAGTGCAGCTTGGCAGTGTGTGGGGGAAAAGAAACAAAAATAACAGAGGGTTAGAGAAATGCAGCGGTTATTAGAAAGTTTACAGAGATTCATTGAGACTGAGACCGACCCACTGAAAGGATAGTGGTATCAAGTGCGAGGCCTGACTGACAATAAGCACTAATTGACAGTTAAGCAAACACATGAGTTTTGATCTAAAGGTCTCAATGGAATCAGATTATCAGATTGTCAGATGTCAGCAGGGAAGTTATTCCAGAGGATGGGTCCACGGTAGAAATTATCTTCAGGATAGACTATAAGAAGGCTGGATTAAATTAATGCATACTGGATCAACAATTTTTTAAACCTTGTTGTGATTCTTTCTTTAAGCTCTGAGAGTCTTTGAAGACAAACATCATCTTGGCAGGTACAGTCGGGAGCAGGAGCTTAAGCAGCGAGAGGAACACTATCGGTGAGAGCTCAGAGTTTACACACAGTTCAGCTTAATGTTCCCCAAAACTAAAACACATCGAAATAACCCTAACCCATGTTTGGTTCATAATATATAAAGATAAATAAATCACCATATGACACTGTTACAACTGCAAGGTTTATCCTATACTTTTAAACTGTAACATATGTTGCAAAATTGCAATATCAAATACATGAATATTATGCAATTATTATTATTATTGCATACTCTAAATTAAAACTGCAGATACATACTGTCTAGACTGTTCCTCACCACTTTGTTCTTCTGTTTTTCCCAGCTGGGATGTGTATGTAGAGGGAATACCTCACAACATAAAGGTAGAAAATCCTCTTTCTCTGCCTTGTGAGGTCCGTTTCTCTTTCACCAAGACGACAGAGTTTGCCTTCACTGCAGCCACAGGGTGAAGTACTCAAATTCTGTCAGATATCTATCCGTCTATGTTGCTGACGTGCTTATCAAAATGTTTTAAGGCGTCATTATAAAGTGGTTCTATGCTTTTATTTTCCAGGCTGACTGAGCTGCAACTGAAGGGCCTGGATGATTGCAAGGAGAACTGGACTGATATTGATGACATCAATCGGGTGTTCTGCTGCAAACGGACTGACATATCAGGTACTGAACTGAATTATGGTTTTGTGCAGCAGTCTTTGAAACAACTGTAAGCAGTGTCCAGTCATATATTTGAATTCCACACTGAAACAGTGGTGGTGGTGGATAAAGACTTTCTGGCCCAAAGTTTGAAACTCATTGAAGTACAAGTACTCTGTTCTTCTTCCAGACTATGTCCAGAAACATTGGAAGGAGGATGCTTTTTTTGGCTACCAGTTTCTAAATGGTGTCAACCCCATGTTGATCCGACGTTGTTCAACCCTGCCTGATAACTTTCCTGTCACTGATGGCATGGTCTTCCTCTGTGGTCAGTGTAGCTTGGAGGATGAAATGAAGGTGATTGTCTTGAGTTTGATTGATCTTAGTGTTAGAATTATGTTTTGCCCAATGACATTACATTTTGAATTGCACATTGTACTCACATGTTCCCTTCATATATGTAATATAGTGACTGTATGCATGTGAGTCAAATCATTTCTCATCCTCACTAAAATTTCAAACAGAAAGGCAACATATTCCTGTGTGACTACAAGCGTTTGGATGGAGTGAAAGCAAACACCATCAATGGAAAGAAGCAGTACTTGATGGCTCCTCTCGTCCTGCTCCACAAAACACCAGATGATCAGCTGATGCCAATTGCTATTCAGGTGAGGTTAGCACTATAGCTAATAGCTAAGAGTAAAGTTGTAAGTTATTGATATTACTCAAACTGTAAGATCTAGGTTTTCCTGCGACAATTGGATAGACCTACAGCCATTCAGAGCAACAAAATGTGTGCTGTAGCATAGTTGGGAAATTAAACTTACAACAAACACATCTCTCTTAGTAGCAAAAGCTTCTTTAAGAAAATACATAGTGTCATCTAGTTACTATAAGGTCAGACTCCGCTCCATATTTAGAGCAAATAAAACACAAGCATACAGATTTAT